TTTTCATTGCGACCAATAACAATGATGAATTTTTATTAACCATTCACGAATGTATTTCCTTCAATAGCATTTGTTTGTAACTTGCAGAATAAAAATATAATGGCCTTGTCAATTAATAAGAAAAGATGGTTAACAATTTTTCTCTTAGTTAAAATGTTGATTGTTTCAGATTGTTGTCTTTATAATTCATTTTCAGTTGATTGTGTTCTTCTTTAATTCTCCTAGCTAAACTGTTTTAAAGATTTCCTGCAAATGACATGATTATCTTGGTTAAGTTTTTTTTTTTAGTTACTCGTGTTAGAAAGTGAAGTATTTTTGTTCAAAAATAATCTTTGCTTTCTTCCAATATTTCGTACTTTAAGTCTAATATTATAAAGGAACATATTTCTTTACCACACAAGTTTATTATTTGTAAAATGATTGATAAACTAGGGGAATAAGTTGAACGTACTATAGGCAATTAATACATACAACTATAATTTAACTTATAAAATATATTTTCATAAAATAACCGATCGATCATTGCTCATACATATTGTGCAATTCATTAAGTACTGATAAGTAATTATTTGTTCTAACATGTATATATATATTAACAAATATGACATACCTTTATAGGTGCAAACCCGTTGGTTTGATCAAATCTCGTGGAAGGTAAATGCATCGTTCGAACCTCTTATGTACTTGTACATATTTGGAGATCTTATTGAACTTCTCGTAATTAGTGTTAATTAGTATAAATGAAAATTCATAATCAAATAAAAAGTGAATTGTGTAAATTAGTTATTTGAATTAAAGTGAAAGTTGCATTAAAAGACTGTGATTGTATATATAATTCGTTGGCGTTTGAAGTGAGATTACAATTAATAAAAAGATTACAAAAAGGTAAAAATAAAATTCTATATTGTCTTGTATAAAAATTATTAAACAAATATTAAACTAAATTGCTTAATATTAATTAGCGTTCTAATTTGACAAGATAAAAAATTAAATTATAAAGAAAATATTTAAATGGATATATTTGGAAAGCTCATTTTTATATTTTATAATACGATTAATATTATACTTATTCGGCAGGACATTATTGTATGCATTACAAATTTTATATAAGAAAATTTAATTTCTACTAATTTAAACAAATCAAGAAGGAAATCACATTTAATATTTTTTAAGAGTAATATTGTCTACTCATTTAAATAAATAATTATTGCTGACTTACTTCACATATGTATTGATATATTACAATAACAAAAGTAAAGTTTTTACTGCTCTTCGTTAAAATTCTTATATACAAAGTAGTTAATAAAAATCAACATATATTTTCTACAAATGTGTCTAATCAAATCGGTATAAAATAAATTTAATTTGAATTTCAAACACTATTTTTATTTATTTATCCAATTAAGAAAATTACTGATAGTTTTAAATACATTTGTGAGTGTGTGTGTGTGTGTGTGTGTGCGCGCGCGCGCGCGTGTGTATATGTATGAAACGTTGATTCAACCTTTAAATACATTATTCAAATTAAATTGTAAATTAAAAATGTATTTATCTTATTAGCCTACTTTGTTTAAATTTATATTCAACATTATCTTACAGAATAAACACATTAAGTACTTTGCAATTTCCATTCCTGTTGTGGTAAAGATTTTTATTAATTATTTTTACGTATTATAGTTTAATTTATATTTAATTTTAAAACTATATATGAAAATAATTTTGATTTATTAAAAATCTACTTATTTTTATTATAATTTACCATCTCGCGCATAATTTTTTGCCGAATTACTTTAAAGACATTTCTTAGATAAATATATTTTTCATATGATTAACGTTGAGTTGGTACACGTTAAAATTATGTTTAATAACTGAAAGAAATAATTAAATTAGTATTTTTATAATGAAAATTTTTTTAATATACGGTATTATACTTTATAGTTTATTAAATAATGTAATAGTAAATTTTCTGAAGTTATCTTTATTTTTAATGAAATATTATTTTATATAATATTTAATTAAATTAATTGATACTATTAATTTGAAATTTCTAGTAAGGTAATTTATCAGCAGAGGAGATTAAATTAACTTTTAATTTGTTTAACTCTTTAAAAATATTTTATTCGTAAAATAAATATAAATTCTTCGAATAGTAGGAACAGAAAATTAAATATGACTTTTTTCTAGTAGCCAAAGGGCACGAACTCGATTCTACTTAATGACTTTTATGTCGAATTTTTCTTTTAGTTTCTCTTAGTACTTTAATGTCCTCCTCCTCCTCCAAATTTTTATTATACATTATATAATAAGCATGTTTATATAATACATGAAATATTTATTTCAATTCATCTGCTTTGAAATTGTAATTGGTGATATAATGACGATTTACGAATATTATTTAAGTTTATGAGAGTACCGTTTTAACAAAAGTAGCTTGTAAATTATTGTTATGACTTGTACATTATTAATAGATTTTACATTAAGCGTAAAGTTTGAACAAGTATAGGTTAATAATCAAGTTATCTTTAAACTGCGTTAAGTAAGATAAAAGTCCGTGTCGAAATTTTCGTATTAAAAGAAACGTAATTCAGAAATTTGCACACTTTAAACTTAAACGTCGTTAAAATACGGAACAAATTAAGAACAGTGATGATGTTATAAAGATGAAGAGGATGAATGTATGTGTGATGAAGTTTGCTTGGAGAATCTTTGCATTATCGGTGATCCGTGAAATTGTGTTCGCTCCTTTCAAAATGCTCGGACTTGTCGATTAATAATAATATACCATATTTTTTACGAAAAAAAAAAAAAAATATATATATATATATATATAGGTCATTGTGTAATAGTTACAAATAATTTCTGTTAAATAAATAATTTTCCTGTTAATAAATGAATAATTGCGCATAGTTGCGTATATTTATACAAAGCAGAAGTTGAAATACAAGAATGCAAAAACTTTTTAGCACTAAAAGACCTTAATTGTGCTAAATATTTTATGATTAATTAAATTTTATGGGTTGGGCTAGTGTTTGCAATGAAATATTGATGATCAGGGATTAGAATTTAATAAGAATGATGTGAAAGAAGTATATAAGGTAAATCGATACAAAGATGGAAAAATAATTTTTTTTTTTTTTTTTTTTTTTTTTTTTTTTTTTTAATCACAGAATTTATCATTCTTTATTATTATTATTGTATCGATTATAAAAGAAATATTTTTTCAAATTCTCGGAAATTATTAAATTTCTTCTTTATCTATTCATAATGAAATTTAACCTGTCATATTTATTTGAACTTTTGTTAATTTTAAAATATTATTGAATTCAAGTTTCCTATATTAAATATTTATTGCGACTGACTTTGTTTAATCAAATTATATATTAATTATCGATTGGTAAAGTAACAAATACATATGTTCTACAAATATTTTTAATAAAAATTGAAATTCAACAAAATATTCGCCATTCGCAATACATAAACTATGCTATAAAATATGGTATATATTTATGTTTAACAATGCTTAATTATAAAATATTGTATCGAAATTTAAAAAAAAATTAGCTTTCAAATGCAGCATCATATAATAAATAAAATCATCATAATTATTATATTGCCAAGTTTAGCTTCTGATATATATTTCTCGTGATATTATGTATTTTATAATTATACATAAATAATTGTATAGTCTTACAAAAGATGTGAAAAGACGCCTCAAAACTGCCTCGTTTAGTTATAATTTACATTGCAGTGTATGCAATATATACATAATATACATCAAATTATTCCTTATACGCATTGCATGCATATTACATATTATTATTATATGCGTAGAGTACAATTCGATTAATAGAAAAGTTTTCGCTCGTAAATAATCTAATTCTCCTCCCTTAACATCTATTCATGACATGACCTCATTGAGTCATCGAAATATTTTCTTTACATCACTCGATATGCATGTACAAGTATTGGGATAAGAGAAAATCTTGAGAATCGATTATTAATACTTACAATACCAATTACTTGTAGAAGTTCAAGTGTACGTACGGCATAAGCGAACGAGTGCGATGAAAATGGACCAGAATGACCTGGTGAGCATTTTTCCTGCTTTATAGCTCCCACAAGTGTTGTTTCGGCTTTCAATGCTTTTATAGATTTCCTTTTGTTCAGAAAATGTAATCGATGGCGTTGATAACCAGCCTGGATAATTGCCTCGTGTGACTGAAAAACTGCAAATTTTACAATTTTTCCAAAAACCCCTTTTAGTCTCGCATTGCACATCTTGAATTCCGAAAAAGTCTCCTCTCGATCCAACTAAAAATAAAGCATTTTTTCTTCGGTAAGCTAACATCGTGGGTTGGCGGCTCAGCGGGCACTTTAATCGATTTGTTTGTTATATAACGGCACTTTGTGCGAAGACTGTAGAAAACAGATTAATTACTCGTTAGTAATTAGCGATATTTACTCGATAGATGATTATTTATCATCGACCAGTATCTCGCTCTTCTAAAGATAATTCGTCATCCAGTTATCGAATACTTTTGAACGCCGAATTCCTCCCCTCCCATTACTTTTTATTCAACACGAATTTTTATAACGAATTCCCATAGAGGGAAAACTTTACGACGAACAAGGCGCCACCAAAAACATACGTTCAATTAAACTCGGCCATTTTAGTCGATTAACATCGACCGATCGAGCTCCTCGTCTATAAGCTCTAACCTTCAATCATCGAACCGCCATGTCGTAGACGAAAAGTTTATCGACGTTAACACTCGAAATAATTAGATCTCATTGCCCGTTACCCTAAGAATTATCACTAACAATGCAAGTGCCCGTCGCTTGGCAAAATGAGCTCGTCGACGAGCTACCAGCGACCGCGGCCTCGACTTTAGAGAGACCGGGGCTTGTCCACGTGAGCGACGCCTCGGGGTTCGATCAATCCGTAACTCTAACTGTTATTCGATGATAAGCGACTAAGGTCGGACTTTTAAATTGCGCAGGTGGGTCAGCGGGACACGTTGACGTCGGTGGCAGCGCGCTTCGACACGACGCCCTCCGAGCTGAACAAGCTCAATCGCCTCGGCAGTACATTCATCTACCCGGGCCAGCAGCTCCGGGTGCCTGCGAAGGGCGAGGGCGCACCAGGAGGCGAGAAATCCGAGTCCACGGGTTCCGAGGGGATCCAGGAGCACGAGGAGCACGACGAGCTGCCCTCCGTGGAGAAGGGTAGGTATCGATAATTGGCCAAGGTACTACTTCTTATTATTGACGGACTTTTGAAATAAATTCAGTAATGCGATTAGTTTGGTAATAAGTAGCCGGGAATACCAAGTCGCAAGGCTAAATCAGTTTGTACACTTTGCGAAACAATGACGTGTCTGTGAATTTTACGATCTTGAAGAAAAATAAATGAACGAGCCCCGTTGAAGTAACTTTGCGTTGCAAAGGAATTTTGCTACAACTTGATTAGGGACAAGATTTGTATGTTTAAGTGATTTTAATCTTCCGTGTATGTTCATAATACTTACAATTGAGATGTCTGCTGCGTTCATTTTCAATCGCTCCTACTGTTTCATTAAAAATTTTCGTACAATTTTAAACGACAACGCGTCCCATATATATCTTGTGATTTTTGCTGGAAAATATGGGAGAAAAAATGGCTAATCAAGAAAATTACGTTCAATCGTTAAATTAAAATCATTTTTTTGAGTTTCTTTCGTGTACTTGAGGTGTTTTTCCCCTTCATTTTTATCCCAAAATTGATATGATTACATTTGTTGTTGTTGTTGTTGTTGTTTTTTTTTTTTTTTTTTTTTTTTTTTTTTTTTTTTTTTTTTTTTTTTTAAATAAAATTCACGTAGTGTATTCTTTGTGTTTTTTTTTTTTTGTTGTTTTTTTTTTTTTTTTTTTTTTTTTTTTTTTTTTTTTTTTTTTTTTTTAAATAAAATTCACGTAGTGTAAGAGAATTACTATTATTCGTTTGTCAGAGTTCTATTATCTCTTTAATTTAGATTTCAAATATTTCAATCTTCATCGTGTTGCACGTTTGCACAACAAATAATACTTTCATTTATGAATTTCTTTTACTTATTTTACTTTACGCTCTTTATTCTACTTTCCTTCTCAAATATTCCTTTTTTTTGTTTTTGTTTTAATGATTAATCAAATGCTCGTTCCATCAGTAATATCTTTCATCATAGATTTCTTTTACAGTTGCTGTTGAATAATAAAAAAAATACAAAAATATATTCTTACGTTTCGTAAAAGTATATTTATTTTACCATCGTCAGTCAAATCAATGTGTGATGTAAAAACTTGTCTGCTCCAGATATTATTCATGCCGACACGATGTTATGAATATAATCTGTTGATCGGTAAACATACACAGACAAAACATACGATGCCCTATCGTCTTTTCTTCTCTCCCTGTCGCACTCGTACGCACACACGCTCTCGCTCACTCACATTCAGACGGTCAATATGTATAATATTTGACGTATACTTGCCATGCGCACACTAGCCTATACCTACACAAAGTGCATCGATGTTTCGAGAGGCTCTCGTGGCCGACTTTTTGCCTCGATACTTCTCATTCGTAAATCTCATTCTTAAACGTAAATATTTCTCCGTCGATGCTTGTTGGTATTTCATTCACTCATCAATAAATTTTCTAATCACTTCGGCTTGAAAGAATATTTCATTGATGGAGGAGTGCACGTACTTATCCGTCTGAAAATCATTTATTGCGTTATATATGCAAAATTTCAATGCCGTGTGATTTATGTACTTTATCGATCCTTCGATATTCTAGATCGCGCGTTAAGGAACCTTAGTATTATATGAAATTGCGAGGTTACCTTAACATCGGACGCTTTAAATCAGATAATATTTCTCGACCACGAATTTGGTTAAACTTTGATAAGTCGAAAAATGAATTACCTTGGCCTTCTCACCAATTTCATTACAAATAAATTTACACTGGTATTTAATATATTACAATCGAGTACAATCGCTGAAATATTTTAATTTATTTGCAGAACTACTTCATAATCTAAAGCCAGTTTTAGCGAAACCAGGTCATTTAGAGCGAGTGAAAACTCCTCTTGGCAATGCTAATGCTATGAACGAAGATATACAGCCTTACAAAGAAAGATTTTTAAAGATCACAGTTCGTCACATTACCGATGGACAGGTATACATACATTTATATTCTTATCTTTTGTATAATTTGTTCTTGTGGTTGGACATTATCTATACTTCTTTTCAGACAAAAGAACAAAAGAATTCATTTAATAAAAAAAAAATTCATATTTCGCATTATCGCTCTGTGATCAATTTTCAATATAATATGTGCATGTGATTATACTTTTTCATTTAATGAAGAGTATTTTGTAAAAATGCATAATAATTATTTTCTTAAATTTCTCATATCAATAAAATTTTTATCAAGTATTTTTTTTTTAATTCTGTTAATTGTCTTTCATTCACCATTCCATGTTAGCTACAAATTTATTAAGGATACAAAGTATATGAATAAGTATATATTTTGATTATACTTACAATGCGTAAGCATTTTATTCATTCAAAATCTATATTATCAAATAGATGAAATAAAAACATTTTAAATTTTAACATTTAGGCTATTTCAAAATTACTACAATACTTTCCTTCATATTCTGTCGATTGAGAATAACATAAATGACTAGACTCGCTATTTTTGTTGTATTTGAAAAGAATATTTAAGCCGCTTAATATTTAATTATTTTCGAATACGCAAAATTAGAAATACTATTACTAACAATAGTAAATGTAATTGCTATTATCGACTATACTAATTACTTTTTTCTTTTTTTTTTTAAGGAAATCTATTGTATTCAGCGTTTTAGATAAGAATATTTGAAACACTCGAGTCGCCTGACCTTACAACTATAATGGTTATACTAAGGCAATAGTTAAAAAAAAAAAAAAAGACAATCTGATTATTTTCTAAATAGCAAAATTAATTATAAAAACTTTTTATTTATCGACAACGAGTTAATTTTACAACTAATAATAATCTTAATAAGAAAAATAACCATCATCGTAATAATTAATAAGAATAGCAGCGATAAGAGTAACGATTAATTTTTTGTTTCTCGTTTGAAACGACCAATCGTTGAATTTATCAGGCACTAAAGCAATTTTGTTTTCCAGGGCGTCGTTGGCGGTGTGTTGCTAGTAACCCCGAACGCGGTTATGTTCGATCCGAACGTCTCGGATCCTCTGGTGATCGAGCACGGCCCCGAGTCGTACGGCGTAATCGCCCCAATGGAATTCATTGTGAACGCGGCGATCTACTATGACATCGCGCACATGCGTGTCGGCCACGCGGAAATCGGCCAGCCGGACAAGAAGCCCGAGATCTACTATATGAAGAAGCCTGCGGTTGCGGCTAATGGCGCCGCCTCTACCGCCGCCGCTGCTGCTACCGATGCCGCGAGAAAAACGGCGTCATCGGGCAAGGACGAGAACTTCCCAGAGCTGACGGTCGAGGACAGTGAGAGCGTTTGCAGTTGTGCCGAGCCCGAGGGTGACGCCTTCCCCAAAGCCTTCGATAAGGATCTCATCGATCAGACTAATCTTTCAACTGTACGGATGATTAATGTACTCACTCGTGAATGGCGCATGTATTTCTCACGTAGCGCTCCTCGTCTTTAAGTCCTCCTACCTAAATGTGCATTTAACGATTGTTTGACAAAGGCCGCAGCCTTACAATATCATAGAGCTCTATAATATTTTATTTAAATAAAGATGTCATTATTAATTCTAGTTTTAAATTAATACTCGAGAAGAGTTTGCTACTTACGCAAAGTGATTGTGCCACTTAGATTTATAACTTGGTTCTTTCCTCTTTCATGTAAACGCGTTGTCATATACCATACTTATTATCTTTGTAGAATGGTACATAAGAAGAATCATGCATACATAATTTATACGTAATTTATAACTATCATTATTGCAATCAATTATTATGTCTGATTTCAACAGAAAAATAATGTAAAACAGAATTATTGTTAATTTTTTTATTAGTATTTTTCTCTTTTAAACTAATATTTTACAAAAAAGGCCTGGATATTCGTAGACTGTATATTATATTTTCATTAATTGAATTACGATGGCTGACAATTTTAAATAGCAGAGTTCGAATGATCGAGTATGTATCATCTTTATTTGTAATTGGAATAATTGCGTTTTCGAAGTTGTTTCAAAATATAATCGGTCTAACATAAATTATTTACAAATTCAAATCATTGAGCTGAAATCTTTCTTACAGAGTTTTTGGTTTGAAAATTCAATTCTATATATCTTTCTACATTCTACCGTAGTATTTCAATTTATCTCATTATAAATTAACATTTAGAATTGTGGAGTTGAAAGTGGCCGTGTAATGGACATTGCATTTTTACATTAAAACAAGCACGTTTGTACTGATTACAAAATTAAGCGACACAAACCAAAGTGGTTCGTTAAGTTAACAAATACTTATGAGAATATTATTTTTTTTTTATTTTTGTTTTTTTTTTTGCAGGACGAAGCTTCGACCAAAGATAAAGATAAAGAGAAAAATGATGCTTCTGCCAAAGATGAGACTGGTGGAGGGCAGTCAAGTAGGACACTCGAAGAACGCAGGCGTTCAATGCTCGATCATCATTGGGCAGTTCCTAGCAAAGACAGGTGTTCGTTTTCCGTAGACGATGAACAACAAGATTCCTTAAATTCAGAAAAAGTAAGTTAACGAGCCGTGATAATAGAGATGGGTTTTAATGAAACGAGTATGCCGGAATAATTATGCTGGAAAGGTTTTACTAATGCTTAAACGCCCCATCAACAGGCCGAATCTTCAAAGTCTAATGTCATTCCTGAAGACGAGGAAAGTTCTCTAGTCAAACAGTCATGCCATGATTCGGGAATCGACATTCGAGATCCTAATCCCCCGCTTCCAGTAGTACAGCCGATAGTGGCGAAGAAAGTGTACTCTGATGCTGATATCGTTCTATCATCGGATTGGGTGCCGCCAATCACCATTGCGCCGACAAACGTCACGACGAGTACTTTGGACTCAGAGTCGGTAATCAATGGTAGGAAAAAGACCGGCTCGGTTTCCTTTAGTTTAGACAGTAACAATGAAGAGCAAGAAAAGGAAGACGAACACAAAGAGGATGATAAGCAAGAAACTCGTAAGAATAAGGTAAGTTAACTGTGCACTCGATTACGCTTATGTTTTTGTCAATTGGCAAATTTAAATATTCTTAATGAAAAAAAAAAACAAAAAAAAAAACAAAAAAAAAATAGATAATTTAGAAGTTTTTAACCATTTAAACTTTTCTCTCTCATTTTTTATAATAATGAGTGATGAAATAGAGCCGAGAGCAGCATTTATAATAGTCGATAAAATTATAAATTTTATAACTAATGATGATAATTTGCAGATGCTAAAGCGACTTTCTTATCCATTGTCGTGGATGGAAGGTTTAACTGGAGAATCAAAAGATGAAGATAGCAAGACTCCATCGGATAAAATATCGAGCCTTCCAAACAGCGCCGATAGCCATCACTCTTCCGTATTTAGTAAAGTTTTCTCGAGGTGAGACTTTCATTATATATAGACACGCGTGCGCGCACACACAGACACACTACACACTACACACTACACACTACACACACACTACACTACACTACACACACACACACACACACACACACACACAGACACACAAATTTCTTATTGAACATTTTAATTAACATCGAATATGGCAGACAATTTTTCATAAATCTCAGTCCCCTGGTATAGTGTTGATGAATAAATCTTAACTTCTTCTTCTTCTTCGATAAATCATGTTTTTCTCACACAATCTAAATTTCTTAGAGTGTCAATAAGCCTAAAAAAGTATTTAATATCGACCTAAGCGCGTGCCTAACAATTTCAATGAATGGCTATTAAGATAATGGAAAACAATCTAGTATGTAATGAGCAAATTTTTCATTTATTATTCATATCTACTAACATCATAAGACGTAATTCTGCTCTCATTAAGATCAAATTGATTTTCGAACTCTGGCCACTGACCATAAAACATTAAAAGTATTAAAGACAGAAAAAGAAATAATAAATCTTTTATCCCCCCCCCTTGTTTTAACTCATAATCATCCTCATAATCACCTTCGATTAATTACTAATATGAAATAATGGTGGTGATGATGTATACAAAAAAAGCTCGCCGATCAACTTGGTGAGTGATTTTAGTTCCGGCCTCTTCGCTAAAACTCCGAGTGAAGAGAGTGGCGGTCGAGCCGGAGGTACACCTCCGCTCACCGCCTCCTCTCTTTCGCAAGACTCGAGCAATCCTGTATTCTCTTCGGGTCCGGTTGCTTTCATAGGGTGAGTTTCGACCGTGAAATCCTTCCCTCATCTACACTACTACAATGTGCCACTATCTACAACTACGTATATATCTCTATATGGCTGTTTGTAACTTATGATCTAGTCTTTCTTCCACCATAATACACGAAAAAGCACGAGAATAACAGCCAGCCTGATTGGAAAATTATATGAATTAACGAATGACTGTAAAATATTGTGAATACCATTTTAATTAATTATAATTAAAATGTTGTTATTGTATTGCGCGTTTATTATTTTAATTTTGTTAAATGTCAAGCTAAGTTTACGATTTTCTTCTTGTTTGACGAACCATTACTCAGCACAATGTTTAATGATAATTTATAATTTATTATTCTTAATTTTACTTAAGATAGTTTGTTAATTTTATGTGTTTCATTGCATCGATGCCGTAAAATGAATTCTGATTGTGAATTACGAAATTTTTCAAACAGGATTTTCTCAATACTCACCTACATCTAATAATAATAATAAAAAAAATAAATAAATATATATATATATATATATATATATATATATATATATTACTATATGTAGCCTACCCATTAGTTTAGATATATATTATGTGTTTAATGTTGCTTTCATTTACATGTGCTCATATTATAAACTATAGTTGCAATTTGAATATAAAGTATCGTTAAACTATTGCATAAAATCAAAATTCTATTCTTTTCTTTTCTATTTTATTTTGTCTTTAAAACATAATAAGATATTCTACAGAATCTTCACGTTTAGAGTAGTTTGCATTAAAATAAAACATCTATACGAATTATCATAAAAATATCTATACAAAATCATTATCAAATAGCTAAACAATATTATGATATATAATGTTATGTCCTTTCATTTCGGATTATACGATTATAAATACACTTTTCTTAGTGTCAATTTCAATACCAGCATGGATATCAACGTCGTTTGCGGCTTGCCTCTGCTTTTTACGTTTATAAAACAAAACAAAATATCATTAGCCTTTCTCCAAAACATACAACGCATTTTAGTTATCATTATATATAGTTTTATGCCCAAAGATATTTCCAATTTGAATGTTAAAAAAAAACCTTGTCGTAAATTACAATGCCGTTGATTATTATGCAATATTGTCTTCGAAGTTACGAAATTTTATTAATGTACAAAAAAAATTTCAAGAATTATAAATGTGCCGATATGAATTAACTGACAATATCGTCACATATAATCAGTAATATATCAATGAACTGAAAATTCATAATAACAGAATTTACATAAATAATATTTGAATTTAATTTGTGTAGAGTTCCACGTAAACATTTATAAAGATATTTTTTTGTTATTATATATAGGATTTAAAATTGAAAATATCAATAATATGGAATATTTTTTCTAAAAGTCACTTCAGTATTGTAAATTTTATAAAAGCTAAATTAAACGGTCAAGACTTTTGCTCTCCGTATGTCTTTTAAGCGTTACAATCGTTATTGGAAGATGGTTTGCGAGAGCCCATCTCGCAATCAGCCAATTTGTGAAAAGAATAAATATAAACTAAAACTGCTTTCGTATCTTCGAAGATCGTCAATGATTATGAACGACTTTATAAGTAAAACTTGGCCATTTTCAGACGTTCTTCCGTTGGAGCTTTTAGCCGACAACAGCCGCTAAACTCGTCCGGGAGTAGTAGCATCGACAGCAGCCGAGGTAGTAAAACTTCAACCGCACCACCACGTTTAGATTATCGCAGCATGGTTTCCGTCGATGATATGCCCGAGCTTTTCGTCAGTTTCGATAGTGAGTATTGTGTTTTACGATATTTATTTAGAAGCTCCTTACGTTACGAGGGTCAAAAATCGAATTTTCTTCGAGTTTCCTTAATAATACGTATATGTAAATTATTAGTTAAAATACAGATTCGAAAACAGGAAATCGACCGCGAGACTTTATATAATAAGTGATTTCGGTCTTTCTTTACATTGAATATATCAGTTTATTCCATTGATTATTTCAAATTGACGAATAAAACAGTTCAAGAGCTCTTGATCTACGAGAATAATTTATTAACTAATTTAACGAGCGCATAAGGGAAAAATTTTTAATTTTTAAATTAATTCGATATTACTTATAGTTATGTTTTACAATATTCATACTTCATCAACGATCAAACATATTTTTAAGTTAATTTTGTGTCTGGAATATAGGCAAAATACAGAAAAAAAATTTTTATATTATAAAATTCAATTTGAAAGAAAAAAAAAATAAGCTAGCCAATTTCATATACGAAAAAATGCTGAATTTTTACGTTTTCCTCTTTTTGACTCTATTAAACAAAATAGAAAACCTAGTTTGAGTTAGGCTATGTCAATTTACGTATATTCGTAAAGTCTTTAATGAATGATTAAAAGAAGAAAAGTCGAATTTGTGGCTCTTTAAATGAGAGGTCTCTTCATTGAAATAAATAAAAACGAAGACAAGCAAAATTTGTTAAATATGCAAATGATAAAATAGAGTTAATTTTTTTATTTACCAGCAATAACATGCTATGATGATATTTCATTTGTTCGTATCGTACGACTGCATCGGCAGCCGAAACTACATTAAACTATTTTCTCTTATTAATCCAAATTATATTCACTCCAATTAATGATATATTATACTTTTTAATCAATAATACTTTAAAACTCTTTGTTTATCGTAGATTTTAAAGCTGTAATTAGCAGTGCCATCTTAGTCCGTAATTTTTGTTATTGAATTGGAAAAAGATATATTAAAATAGATCGATTACTTAGCATTATGAAATCGGCTGATAAAATAACAAAATTAATTTCACCTTCATTTTTATTTTCTCATTGTATTATCTATCAAGTCAGGTACTCAAAGATTCGATCGCCGATTTAAATGGATCAGAAATAGACAAATATCTAATCAGACATCTCAATCTTATTGTACAGCTGAATTCATAATGCGCCATATCATTTAAGTCACACTAATACTTATAATATCATCTATTTTTTTTTTATTGCCCCTTTAGTCCAAGCACCTAATTTTCCCGAGCTCGAAGGTCTCGGTACGTTCATTATGTAATTAGCTTGTTTACAATTTTCTATTATAATATAAAATTATGCTGTTTGAGTATGGTTTTTTTTTCCTTATGACTGTTTGCCTCTTATTATATAGCTAAACTAAAATGAAAATCTGTAATCGCCTTTCAGTTTGATTTTCTTTAGAACCATATAACTCATAAATTTTTTTATTTTCTACGTTTTATCACTCGGTAACTACTATAATATGTCACCTAATATATAATATTTAATATTTGCCTTAAATATGAAGTATAATAGTAAAAAAAAAAAAAAAACAATAATAAAAATGCGATAAATCTTGCTTGTCAACATTTTTTTATTTGAAAGAGAAAACAGTTTGTCGACCAACCACTCTCTAACTTTGTAAAAACATTTCATTTAACTATTTGCCTAATTTAAATTTAATGTAATATATTATCAATATTACATATTAATACAAATACATAATCAATATTATTAGTTTGTTCAGAATTTATTTTATAAGCTGTATTATAACATCATCGCGCGTGCGCACGTGCGCACGTGTGTGTGCGTGTGTGTTTGCGTGTGCGTGTGCGTGTGCGCGCGCATATATGCGTAAAAAATATATATATATATATATATATATATATATATATATATATTCATATATATTTAACTACGAATTGTACAACATATGTGTTGGAAATGATAGCGAATAGAAATAATTAGAAAGTCGCATTATATTGTATATTAATTAACATTAAAGTGCTTCAAGTTTTTGTTATAATAATTTTATTAGAAATAGAGTGTTAAACGTAAGTTGTGTAAATGAATATTGCTCGTATATATGGGAACAAAATCGGTGAACTAATCAATTATCATTCACCCGAGTAAAATATTATTGAAATTATCTCGTGCTATTTGATACTAAACGCTTTAAAAATTACTAATTTTTACGTATATTTTTTAATATGCCATCTATAATTAAACATAGTACTTTTGTATATATACATACAAGCAGCCTGTTCAATAATTTAAAATTATTAGGTTTCTCACGTAAATCTACTTTATTATTTACTATTATGTTTAAATGCCAAGTGAGTTAAAATATATTTTCAATGGCTTTTGGGTAGGAATGAAAATAAAATATTGTAAAATATTTATTTATAATTACAGTTGCATCAAGTATGTACAAAATATTAGTGTCTAAAGCTGTTTAATATTGTAGAATTGATTCCGAGGCCTGCACGTTCCTGCGAGGATCCACCATTATATCTGAGACTGCGAACAGGAAGACCTAAGGACAAAAAAATTCCCTGGTCGACTCCAATTATGAGCTACGGCAAGAAGAAAATTCGACCTGAATATTGGTTCAGCATACCTCGCAACAGGTATATTTACGTAAAAACAATCTTTAATCAATGACCAACTACAATAATAATCTGCTCGTAATCAATATATTTATGAATACAATTAGTATTTTCTTAATGGGATAGATCTCTATTCTAGCAGAATGCAAACATTGAAAGAATATTTTATATTATATCTTATGCACATTTAGATTGATATACTTTTGTTATGGTGATATTGTCGTTATAAAAATCTTACAAACAAATTAAAACATATTTTGAAAATTATAAAATTATTTTTTGACTAGAGTAAATAATATAAATTGCATATTTTTTTAGAAAAACTAAAAGTTTATGGACTTTTTAACGATATCTCTATTAAGTACATAAAAGAGAGAATATTTTGAGAAAATCAATTTTAATAAAGAATAAGTAAAGATAATAATACTATTTGTTAAAGAAAGAAAATAAATTTCAGTTAATTGGAGTTATGCGTTTATTTTAAAAAGTGTGTAAATTATCTTTTGTGATTAGATTTAAAAGAAAAGAAAAAGAGAGAGAGAGAGAGAGAGAGAGAGAGAGAGAGAGAGAAAACCCACGTATTTTACAAGTATATACGGTGAATTGAACATGGAACGTCATCTTTCAATTCGTTTAATTATCTATTCGAATAGAATTTTATGCATCAAACGAACATCAAAAGTATCTAAAAAAAATATAATAAATTAGACAGAATATAATTAATTTTTGTTACTATATTGAATATTATTTATAACAAAACTAGTAACTTAAACTCAACTCTTAGGTATTAATTATCTTAGCAATTATGTTACTTGCAATTTACATATCCTACATGCTCATGATTCATATAATTGTCCTCGTACTTTCAACTTTATAAATAAATAAGAATATTAATGGAGCGACAGTTGAGAGACAGCAGTGGCAATGAGAACGGAAAAATGCAGTGTTTAAAGTTTTATGTTCATTCATAAAAGTCAGCATTTAATATATTTACACAAGCCAGCGCGACAACTCGAATGAATCGCTCGTGCCACGGAAAACGCTTTTTATTATGAATATATCGAGTAATGCTAAGGCACCTGGCGAGTGCGCACGTGACCTTCAACACTCAGTAACTATAATCGCCAGCGGTGCTTTCGAAAAATGCTTAAAAGCCGAATGAAAGGGAGCGAAAGGCAATAGTCGCCGAATTGATAATCCGCGCGTCGTGCATAGAGCGGGGCAGCCGAGTTTTACAATTTGAAAAAGACGCGGGAACCGGCAGAGCTCTGACATACGTCGCTCATAAAGCACGTGCTCACCTATTCCGTTGCAAGTTTTTACGCGACAATCCATCCACTCCCGCCACCGCCGACCGTCGCGTGTTCACATGCATCTATCGCTCAGTACACGCCCATTGACGCGAGCAATATCTTCTATTGGCGAGCGCGCGCGCGCGAGCAAACGCTGCTGACTCGCTTGTCCGCGAGAGTCGTATTATTTGCATTTGAGGATTTGTCGATCGGTCGATCGATCATCGGCAAATGCCGTACGCGACTAGTCGTTGAAATCGAGCGTAAGAAAGGGGCCGAGAGAGCCAACTTTCGATCCGATTCGCCTCAACTGCGCCGCTTACACGCGGTACCAACGATCGCGCACCTACGCGCGCGCACGCATACACTTACGTACGGGCGATCTCGTCGAGAGGGGAACAATTATATACGAGGCTCTTATCGCTCGCTGACGTTGTCGTTTCGATATCGCTCCGGTCGAGATTATTCCTTTGGGTTTCGCTTAGGTAACGCACGACCGACCGATTCCATGCAACGCTAAAACTAACGACGCCCCGTCACATTTTTATCATTATAAACGCGCCTTCGATTTGTGCGATAATCGAGGAAATTACCGGCCGATTAATTAATCAGTGGACAGTGGATTTCATGAAGAGTTTTGACTTTGCTTCGAACTACACGTCGCTCCCTTATAATGAACGCCGTTTTCGACAGAGTGGCGCAATTTTGCAATGACTATATACCTAACGTTGCGAACCTAGCCAGACAAACAATGCCTTTCCTTTCTCAAAGGTAAATGAAATGTAACTGTGTTGATGAATAATTGTTGCAAAGTTATTAATCAGTTTTGATGTACGTAATGTTAACATTTTTTATCACAGAATATTAACCGAGCGTTGAATAATTGATTCATTACTCGATACGCAGGCGCACATGCATGCACGTTTATGGCACACGCGCACGCGCACGCGCACACACTCGCACTCACACTCACACTCACTCACACGTATACGTAATTGTCGCTTATAACGTTTATTTGTCGTTATTTTACAAGATATTCGCTACAAATACTGTCAGGTTCCATGAGAGGGGCAATAATAGAATGCTAAAATTCCGTTCTCATCGTATTCCGGAAGATTAGTTAGTCGATCAAGGAATATTGTTGTATTATTGTACTGAAACGATAAGTGATAAAGCTAAAAAATATTATGTATTTAGTAAAAACAATGTTTATTATTTGTAAATGATTATAATAATATTGCACTTTGATGTAGAGAGAAATAATTCTATTAAAGTAGTGAGGGTGTATTCTTGTATTCTTGAATTATTGTAGATATTATGGATATGACTAAGTATCTTGAAGTTGAAGTAATGCTGATGTTGTTGTAAATATCAGCTGGTGTAGTCATCAGTCAATCATGCTTGTGAGGTCGCATGAGAAGATGCTGGTAGAATCAAGTATGCTTGATGGATGAATAACTATACTTGATATGGTGTGAGATGTTTAATGGAATTTATTAAGTAATCAATTGTGTCTTTATAATTATGTAAGGGGACAGTAGAAGAATTTAGTCAAAGGTAAGAGTAATTAGTGGTGAGATTTCTAACTCTTGAAGGATGTAATAATCTGTATTTATAGTTTATTAGTCGATCTGTTGTTGTCCTTCTTGGACAATGTGTGTGAACCACAGTGACTTTCGTCAGCTGTTGAGGGCCTGTACGATGTCGAGGGTTAGTTTGAGAGAGCGTAAGTGTGCCCTGGTTCTGCTAGCGGGCCTGTACGATGTCGAGGGATCAGTTCGAGAGAGCGTCAGTGTGGCCGATCAACTATAGCGCGAGATGTGACTTGTTTATTTATTAATATAAAGGTGTACCTGGTGAACTGCAGGCTAGGTGTATTAGATGTTGTGTAGTTGATGTCCCCCTTGATTATTATTCAATTGGCTTCGCTGTAATCACTATCGATTTCTTATTCTTATGGGCGCGTGTAATTTTAACTATGCTGCCGAATATATGGCCACGCGTCGTCTTCACATTATAAAAAACACTATTGCACTGAGCGGCAGTTACGCTTGAGTGAGCGCGAAGTGATATTACAAATGTGCGTATGAGCCTTTTGAATACGCGCAGGAACCGAAGGCTTGACTGTTCCGTGGCGGCTCTACTGAAAATACCGACCGTTCCACGGCGGTCCTGCTAAGGGCAGATGGAGATCCGTGTGCCATGGCTTCAACTGGAAGAGAGTTAACTGTTAGATCGGGTCACGGCAAGATGTTAGCCACAAGCGCAGTTGAGCGAGGGTCGTACGGCAAGAGATGATTTTCAGCGAGAGGTATCTTCAGCAAGAGAGGTCGAGACGCGCCCCGTGCGTCCCTTATATAGGCACGCGGCGACTCACTTAGCTGGCAACAAGGCATCGTCGTTGTTGCACTAATTCTTACACGAGGCGTCGAAGGAAAAATCCTAGAACCTTCGAGAATGTTCGAGGAGAGAAAAGTAGGAGTAATACCCTTCGGTGATCTTACAGTATATTATATTTCGCAGTATATTCGCTGGAGTGCGCGTCCCGGTCCGCACGTGAGGGCCAGTCTAGGCGCACATACCTGGGCGCACATGCGGTACGCCGGACAGCGCGTATGACCTTTCGTTTTTTTGAAATTCATGGGCCTACATCAATCCCGAACAAAAGGATACTGCTAATTTCCTTGAAAATTGAAAAATAAAATTACGTATTTCTACTAAGTGTTTGGATATGTTAAACCCCATATATATATATATATATATATATATATATATATATATATATTTTATGATTATTCAATAATATATAGAGAATTATTTAAAATTTATCACACAACTAACCGCGATGTTACATATGTGTCTGGAAACTTTGACTGACATTGCAATATATCCGTTGGCTTGACACGATTAAAAATAACAAAGACAGCAGAGTGACTCTTTCAAAGCTAAAACTCCACGGGAATTCTAAATAAAATGTACATTCGAGCGTTAGAATAATATTTATGAAGCATCGCCTTCCCAGACATTCCGTAGGCTTAAAAAAGATCTGATTGACACTGGCGATGAGGTGCGAGACTTGCAAGTCCGTCGAACGACAAAATACATTAACGATGTTCCGTACTTCCATTGGTAGGGTGGACGACCTCTATAGGTTCATCCACGCATGGGTGCCGTCTCTCTACGGGGAATTGGACGAGGAGCACTGGAAGGAGCTTGGCTACATACTATCGGACACGGACACAGATTTGTCACCGGAGCTGGCACCGCGCGATTCCGTCGAGGCCGGCGACACGGGCGTCGACGAGGGCAAGGACGGCGAGGGCAAGTCCGCCGAGATATCCGAACTGACTCGCGAGTCCTGGGAGGTAAGCGTCACTTTTTTCCAACTATCGGCTCACCGACTTCGAGTACTATTACGGTCGTCACGAGCGCCGACCCGAGCCAGCCAAACGACAATGGCTAATAATCGCTCTCTCTCTCTCATTTTCGGACTCTGACCGCTACGAAACGTGACTTTGTCGGTGTTGTCGCAATTTTATTGCACTGGAATTGTCATTACTTTTTTCTTTACTTTTTTTTTCTACTTCTTCTTCTTCTTCTTCTTCATCTTCTTCTTCTTCTTCTTCTTCTTCTTCATCTTCTTAATCTAACTTATTATTGGCAATTTCAAAGTAGTCAAATAACGTCGTAGATAAGGTCTCAAAGACGATGCTTATGCCAAAGTCCAAAAATGATTTCGCAGCTTGTATGCTTTGTTTTTATAAATAGAGAAATTAACGATTAAGCGACTCGTTCCGAAAATTTATTGAATTAACTCGTTAAATTAACAATTTAATCAACAATGATACATGATTTTTGCGACATTTACGAAAGACATTTGCGAAATTAAGTATTACTATGTTCGGTGCATTTGAAGCAAATAACAATAAAATAAATAAATAAAAAAAAAAAAAAAAAAAAAAAAAAAAAAAAAAAAAAAAAAAAAGAGTTCATTAAAAAATTAGAGTTCCCTTGAGCGTTATTCGTCTTTATTATGAAAGAATGAATTTTCATAAATCAATTAGAGGATATTTTCATAATAATTAGAGAAAATTAAAGGGAAATTTTTATATTTAACGCATTACATGGATGAAGTCACGTACGTTGAAGTATAAAAATATATACAATTTCATGGATAATAGGAACGGTAGCGTAATATTATTTCAATGATATTCCAATTGTTGGCGATTTATAAATAGCTTTTCAGAAATTGCACGCTTTAGGCCTTCCGAACAATGTGAATAATCAACTAGTCATACGCGCGAAGTCAAATTGAGCTTTGAATCTGAAAATAGTTCTTGGCATGGCGCATAACCGATATTTGGCATACGCTCGCAACTTCTGCGAAACTCTTTTTAACCGCCAATTCGAATCGGACTTAAACGACGTGAAATTTCATTTGAAGAAAAAAAAAAGAGAAGCAAAATAAAAATCCGTACAAACAGAAAGTAATTTTACATAATTTATAATTTCGCCAATAAATTATGTTAATTTTGTCGTTTTTTGTCATTTTATGCAAACTACATTTTCATTCGTTTATAAAGAGGATTTATGCCGCTCGGTCATTAGAATAAAAATTATTGCAATAATTGCTCGAAACACCATTTTGAATTTGAAAATATTGCCAAGCATACATTTATTTATTTCAACTACGAAAAACACATCACAAGTGGAATTATCAATTTATTCGAGGAAATGTTATTCTCACTATTTCATATTATTTATTAAATTTCATTGTAACGCTATTGATATAAGATTCGTTTTCTAATATTTGCATTTTATAAAGAATAATAAATATTCGAGTCAAGTTAACTGGAATATTCTAATTTTTCAATAGTGAGATAGTGATTCATTGGTATTCGTAAACGCCGCGAATGATTTATCGAATTAAACAAGCAGTTGACATAAAAACGACAGAATTGCAGTAAAACGAGTGTAGCTTTTAAAGTAAGAAAAAGAAAAAAAGAAAAATCTATACATATATTTAAAAACTAGGAAAAAAAAAAGAAATAAATAAATAAATAAATAAGTAAAGATAGAAAAAAAAACACGAAAAATATTCTTGACATTGGGGGTCTATTGCCTTCATTGATCACAGCTGATCAAGGCTCCGTACGTAAAACTCTACAGCATCCTGAAGACCTCGAGCACATCCGCTGACTCTGAGCAGATCCAGGACCCCGAGGTACAACTGTTCTTTCGGCCCTACAAATGGCCAAAATAAAACAACAAATGCAAATAATATACCAAGCACTAATGTCGATGTTTCAATATTATTTCTCTACAATACTCACTACTCGCTCTCTCACCTCTTTGATTATTTTACAACCCTGGGTCTCTTTGTTTTTAATTTCAATGTGTGCGTTCGCATAATGCATGACCTTCTCATGACCACCACACCACACGGATAACAAAGAAACCCAGCAGCAATTAATGACTAAATTAGATTTTCGATGCTCCACCTCTTTTTCACGCACGTTATAAACATACTTGAGCAACCGACAAACAACACGCCCAATACTTAACCAACAACAGCTCATGCACATTCTTCTATGGCTAGACATTAAAATACAATGTTATTTCACGGGTTTTGGAATATATTTTTCCACCTACAAAATTTCCACTCATTATCTACACAATAATGCCAAAATATTGTTTAATGAGTGGAACAATACTAATGCACAAATTATATATATATATATATATATTTTTTTTTTTTTAAATACATATACGCTTATTATTCTCATTTTGATCGTGTATTAAGAATCTTTTCTCACCTCAGTGAGTTCGTTGTAAGCACATTCGCTGAAAAAGTTCTCTTCGCCTTATCGCCAATCAGGGACACTACCATGTGTCCGTTTGCATATTATGTGTTAAATATCTACCGCTATTAATTGAAAGGGGACAATGCACCAATCTTCATTTGCTCGCTCATTTTTGCACAATAAGGCAAAGCACAGGTGACATAAGAGCGCACGCGTACGCACGCACGCACGCACGCACCGAATATTATCTGACTTCAATATATGAGTGCAAATAATGATCATGTGCGTTTCCTTGTCGTTACATACGTCACTTTTTATTGATTTTTAGAAAGTAGTGTGAATATTTGCACCACATTTATAATTCGTTGTAGCACTGTGCACTTAATACATTATAAAGCAGTTTCATAGTATTGGTAAACTGGTATGTATTAAATATGAATTGAGTGGATTGCATTGAAAAATAAATGTTTAATCGTAATTCGGTGTGTTTGAAAGAGCTACTTTCTTGACAACTGTTTTGACTGTATTTTTAATTTAATTTAATGCTGTAATAATTATGAAAGCCGAACACTTGCAATAATGATAATGAAAAAGATGAACTAATTACTTAATTACGTATAGGAAAAATATTACGAGTAAACTTATTAATGATCCGAAGAATTGACTCTGATTGCATAAAAGAATTTATCTTCTTTTATAATTTTTTTTTTTTTTCTTTTCTTTTTTCAGTAGCTAGATAATCTTATCAAGGTAGAATAATATTTATCATTAAATTTAACGTTTAATTAATCAGTATAATGTTATTATGCATGTTTTAGACGAATTTGTAATACTATCTAGTTCAATTCAATCGGCAATTTGATGAATTTATCGAAATACTTATTCTATCGATATTGAGTATACGTATGTACTCATAATATCTCTACGTGATCAATGTTACGTATTATAAATTGCATCACATAAGATAATCCAGACTATGAGATAATATTCGCTTGCGATTCTCATAACGACAGTAAATAATAATAAATATTTAATTATAAGCGGAAAATCTGGAGATGCATTCATCTGTAAAATCACAAAAATCACAAAATCAGATATTGAAAAAATATGATTGAAATAAAAGCATATTTTAGGATTGTAAATAATTATAAACGAAACAAGCAGTGCTTTCGAATATTTCATAATTACAAATTCTTTAACATCTAAGTCAGTTGGGTATAAGTGTAATGCACAAACTCGTCGGAGCCGCTCAAATTTATTTTTAATCCTCACATGCTGACAGCTTGAGCGACCTTCGAAAGCAAATTACCCTCCTAAAACTTTAAAATTACTCATCACAAACACATCATTAATTTATAAAGCCTTTTTATACAATTTATAAATTTATAATTTAATTTATAAACGAATACCAACTGATGAATTAAGTTCTGTTTACAAAATTTCTTATTATTTTGGCAACAAAGAGAGTAGAATATACGTTGAATAGTTCGTAAAATCATTGTGAAATAATTAATAATATTTGCAAATTAGTATTGGTGAAACGCAGCATTAGATATGCAAGTATTTGCCGATATTCTAATATTAGTATGACTCGTCTATTACTTTTCCATGGAGAGAGAGAGAGAGAGAGAGAGAGAGAGAGAGAGATGCATTTTTTGACAATGCTACGAGCATTTTTCACGTTTAGAATCTTCTAATGACCAATACAACAATTTGTTGGCATCGTTAAACCGCGTTTAAAAATAGTTTAACAAGATATGTTTGAATATAAATCAAAATTCCCAATAGCCTAACGGCTTTATTCAATAACCCCACAATAATATTATTGCTGCATTCTATGTATTATATTTATCATTTAAAGAATTTTTCTTCTTTTCACTGTTATTTTTTTCTCCTTTTTTCCCTTTTCTCTTTCTTTTGGTTTTGCCCCCCCCCCTCCCCCATTACAATACCATTACATAGCATTAGAAGAGAAATATCTGTAAATATGTGAAAGTATGGAAAGCTCAAAAAACGATAAGCACGTTCACTCGAGAGAATAAAATGGGTCGTGCTGATGTGAAACAATTTATCGTCACAATGAAGTTGTAGTGCTCAAATCGACATAATTATTTATATTCGCCAAACTCTTACGGAACTGTAAATGATGCACGTTTGCAGCGAGAGGGGAATGTATAGTATTAAGCGATTTCTCAATCTTATCGAATGCGTCAGCGCTGAAATCTTAATATCAAAATAATAATGGATAGTATTCTTTAAAAATAAACAATTCGCGCGGATATTCGCTCTCGTAGATATCGAAATTACCAGCTGTTGGCCACGAATGCCAACCGAGTCATTTACGCGCAGCTCTCGCTCTTGCGTATGAAATTATAAAATTAATTAATGGACCATCTCGTTCGGTGGTATCAAGAGACGATTTCTTGGCCCGGTTCCTCGCAGCTCACTGGCGTTCCCCGTTTTACGCTCATTCAATCTTATTCTGACGTTTTCGCTAGCGGTGACTCCGTGGCACGTGCCCCCGCCTGCAAAATATATTCATTTTCAATGTTTAAAAAATATTATGTTGAATGATTTTATCGCAAACTTCGGTTAAACTGGCTATTTGTTCGTCTAGTTTTTTTTTTTTTTTTTTTTTTTTTTTTTTTTTGAAATTAACTAATTAATTTTATCATAAAATGAAAGAAAATCTCGAGACACAGAATTCGAATAAATTACATTTCATTATCAATGCAAAGCTCTCGTACTAACTTGTACCATAATTTCAGCAATATGTCTGCATTCATTTGACATACTGGTAGATTAGAAGAGAAAAAATCGCACTCCTGTAAAATTCTCGAATTATTAATTAAACACTTGAGACATTAATGTCACAATTTGATTGATTATTTTTTTTATATTGAATTAATAAGTTAGTACAACTGTGTAATGAAGTATCAACGTAATATATCCAGTATACCATGTAAATAATAATAATATTTATTATTGCTTATCTTATCTCCTGAATAATTTCGCGTAATAATATTGTATCGAACGCACAAAATGCAAATATTCTCAGCTACGAAAGTATAACCTTATGTTTTTTTTTATCCCAAGAACTTAATTAAACAAATACGCTGGCTCGTTAAGAACTTCATCCATTATAAGATAAGCACTGTTGTTATTGTTGCTGAGACGTAATTACGTCATTTGACTTGTTGGCTGTTTTTTTTTATCGCCGTTCATGACTTTGTGGTTTTTATAAATATGTATGCGATTTGAATGTTTGGCGTATAGAAAAGAAGAAAGAATCGATTCATACGCGGGGGGAGGGGAGATGTGATACTCCTAAAACGAAATGGTTAAATGACAATATACGCCTTCTTAATTTGGAAATTAATTTATATGCCTATATGTAAATAAACGATAATTATTCAGTATTTTCAAATAATCGAGTATTCAATTTCATTGGAATAGGATTTTGATTGAAATTGATGCTGATGGACTTGTAAGGAAAATAAATACGAATGTATGTAAAAGAAAAGGTACATTGAATTATAAATGAATGATATATTCGCTACGAAAGTAATATATCACTTAAATTATAAGAAAATAAACAATGATGTCAAAATTCAACTAGATAAATAGAAAAAAAACCAGATAATTAGCATAACTTTAACTTTAAAATACGATTCAAAGTATTTACTACTTGAATCCATAACTTCATTATAATTACTTTATAATTGTATGGGTATAACTATGATTCATGTTTTATTCATAATATAATTTGATCATATTTTTTAATAAAATATTATAGAATGATGATGAAAATTGTCAGAGGATTAATGTGCTGCGAATTTTAAATTATTATCGAATATATTTGCTGAAACAAAAATAATTTTACTCTTCAGTTTTGTAATTTATTTGTTTAGCATATTTTTTTTTTCTTTTACACACATATTGAATAAAAGAAAATCTAGTTTGCTAAAACGAACGATGCTAGTTGAACGAATAATTCTAATTGAAAAAGGTATTCACGTACACGTTTTTAACGAACTACAATACAATAATTAAATGAATATTAATTTATTAGAAAACATTATTTCGCAAACTCTATAATAATAAAAATTTGGTTTTTCCAAGAAAAAACTTTGGAAGCTGTAACGCATATAGTAATACTAATAGCAATAATACGTAATTTATGATGTTTATCTTGCAAATAATATTGAATTATTTTATTTAATTATTGTGATTAAAAAAAAAAAAAATTAACTCAATTTTCTTATATATGTGTTACTCTATAATAATATCCAAGTTTTCATTTACGCTGTATTTCATAGCATCGAAAGTAATAAATCTTATAGAAATGTAAATCCACTCATCAATAGCTATATATACATACACACACACACACACCAGATACAAAATATTATAATTTGTT